CCCCCCCCCCCCCTTTTATGACCCCCCCAGCATCTCCTACCCGCCACAGTCCTGCTGCCTCCCTCCAGGCTCAGCCGGGCGCCGTGGGGGGGCCCCAAAGTGCCCCGAACCGCCCAGGGGGGGCCGCCTTGGGGGGGTCCCCACATCGCTGCTCCCGACCCTACGGGCGCCCCGGGGGCCCCCAGTTGGGGGCTGGGGGGGGGGGAGCGGGGGGCCGCGGCATCCCCCCCCCACCCGCTTTGCACGCGCGTGTGAGCCGGACCGAGCGTGCGAGTGTGTGCGTGCGCGTGGATGGGGGGGGGCTCAGCAGCACGTGGGGCCGCGCGGGGGGGGGGCAGCGGGCTCACAGCAGGCCATGCACGCCGCGATCACCCCGACGGGCCTTGCACGCTCACCGACAAGTGTGCAAGGGCACGCCGTGCCCAGCCAGCCTCGCACGCTCACCTCCGCACGCTCGGACACGGGGAGCTTTGCACGCTCAGCTCTGTGACCCTAAGGCCTCGCACGCGCCTCGCACGAGCCTCACACACGCAAGCCAGCCACCTTGCACGCTCACCTCCCCGCGTGCACGCACTGGAGCTGTGCACACTCAGTGCACGAAGCTTGCACGCTCACCTCTCCTCGTGCCAGCTCACACTGTGCATGATGGTTTTGCACGCTCACCTGCAGGCGTGCAAGCTCACACTGTGCCCACGAGCTTTGCACGCACAGCCCTGGAGCCTTGCACGCTCACCTGCATGTGCACACTGAGCCCTACAGCTTTGCACACTCACCTCCAAGAGTGCAAGAGTGCCCTGAGACCTCAAGCTCTGCACACTCAGCTCTGGAGCTTTGCACACTCACTGCCAGTGCGAGTGCATGCTGAACCCTGAAGCTTTGCACAAGCAGCCCTAACTCCTTGCACACTCATCTGCCATTGTGCAAACTCACAGTGCTGGACTTGCTCACACTCAGTGCATGAAGCTTGCACTCTCCCCTACAGTTGTGCAAGCTCACACTGCACCTGGGAGCTTTGCACACACACCACTACAGCCTTGCACGTTCACCTGAAATTGTGCAAGCTCACACTTTGCTGGGAGCCTTGCACACACAGCTCTACAGCATCACACGCTCATCTCCAGCAGTGCACGGCCTCAGAGCTGTGCACACTCACCTCTGCTCGTGCAAACTGACCCCTCACCTCAGAGCTTCGCGCCCTCCAGCCTTGCACGCTCACCAGCAGCCCTGCACGCTCAGCCCTGGAGCTTTGCACGCTCCCTGCAGGCCGTGCCCCCCCTTGCAGCCATTCACACGCACGTTGCACACCCGGTGCCTCCTCAGCCCTCAGCCCCGGCCCTTTGCACGCTCATTGCACACTCACCACGCTCCCCTGTGCATGCACCTCCCTCCACCTGTGCACAATCACTGCACGCCCTGAGAGCCTTGCACACCCGCTGTCAGCCTTGAACGCTCACTCCCTGCCTTGCACACTCAGTGCCAGCCGTGCACGCTGCCTGCAATCCCTGCTCTCTCCGTCACCCCGAGAGCCTTGCACGCTCACTGCCAGCGTTGCACGCTCACCTCCAGGTGTGCACGCTCCATAGCAACCGTGCACGCTCAGCACCAGCTGTGCACGCTCCCCGCGAGCCCTGCACGCTCCCCCCACTCCCTGCCCTTGCACGCTCCCCGGCCCCTTTGCACACTCACCGGCCCCTCTGCACACCCCCCACCCTCCGTGCACACTCCCGGGCCCCCCAGCGGCACGCCCGCTCCGCCCGCTCTTCGCACACCCGCCGCTCTATTTGCACACTCGCCCCCCGCTCTTTGCACACCCCCGCTCTTTGCACGCTCCCCCCGTTCCCTCCCCCCCCTCCGTTATCTCCCCCCTCGCCCCGCTATTTTTTCCCACG